CTTCAATCTCGGAAATAATTACATTGAAAATTCTGTAGCACGTCTCGCTCGTATTCAATTTCAATGACAGACTTTTTCATCAATATGATATTGATATCTTTTTAACGAGAAAAATCTCTACTTTAAAATTCAAATAAAAAGTAAACTATAAAATAAAAACCATTAATCTATAATATATTTAAAAATGTTTAGTATGCGAAATAATTAAATTTGAAAAAAAGACTCTCCTTCTCTATCAGAGAATTTTTTTAAAAATTGTAAAGAAATCAGTTGTCAAAAATGTGAAAACAATAATATAATTAAATAATATAATAATATAATTAGTTTCAATGAAATAATAAATAGGAAAATAATAAATTATCAGTGTAAACTTTCATATAGTTTTCCTTTATAAGTTTTCGATATAAAGTTTTTCCAGAGTTTGTGCAGCAACTTTTCGACTATCTGCACGATTTTGTTTTGACGTCGAAATATGGGGCATCTGTTCGGCACGTGTTTTAATGTTCGAAATGTGACATGTGTGTTATGGACACCCCGGATACCTGACTTCTTTCGTCGTACGGAATATTAAACGATGTATATGGAGTCAACCATACCGGACGATAAGCAACGAACGTTTGCTACTGCAGTTCATCAGAGATCTTGGCACAATAAACATCGCGTCGTCTTCTTTCAAAACTTGCAAACTGCACGAACCATGAATCACGACGTCTTATAAACTGATCCTCCTCTCCTGTTTCCCGTACGCACCGGAAATAAGCTCCCAGCGCGATGTCGGTGAACGTTATATGCCGTTTCATTGTCGACAGCATCGACTTCCGAATCCCGTAGAATCGACAAAGATACGAATTTCGTGGAAAATTTATCCGTGAATTCAGTTCATTATTCGTTTCTCGCATGAATGGCTCTCTCTTTTTCCTCAAGTTAAAATAAACCTTTCATTCAAAAGGAACCTTCTCGTTTCACAGAGACAAAGCAAGAAAGGAATAATAAACAAATGAAATTGCTAATAATAATATCAGCGAATAATATTGTAGCTGAGTAGTTAAACATTGTAGAGAATAGTTTATTAAAAATTTGATGAATTCTTTGAATTATTATTTCAATTTTACGATAATTAATTTCGTTAATCTGTATGTCGGTTTATATTGCTTTTAATAACACGAATTTATGAGAAAAATTATAAACTTGAGTAAATTTAAATTAAAATTAGTAATAATGACGTATGATTTTTTTCAAAAAATTATCTAGCCCGTTTTTATTATTTCTAAAAAATTAATTCGATATTGCGATTTTTAGATTTTTATTAATATAAATAGAATATTAATATACATGGTGTCCCGAAACTTATAATCAATCTTTCAAAGACAGATTCCTGAGATCATCTGAAGACGATTTTTCCTCAACGAAAATGTCGAGGCACTAATAATTTTCGAATTATAAGTGATTGGAAATAAGGGGTTTTTCGTAAACTAAGTTTTAAGTAGAAATAAAATATTAACAAAACCACATTCTTCAATTAATTTTAAATAGAGTTTACTTTAGTTAAATTTTAATTTAAGGCTTAATTGCAAAGATATATGACGACAAAAATTGGGAACATGCAAAAAATGATGGCCTTCATCGACATTTTCGCTGAGGAAAAATCGTTTCCAAATGATCCCAGGAATCTGTCTTTGAAAGATTAATTATGAGTTTTGGGACACCCTGTATAAATAAAAATCACACACACATATATATATAGCTATACTCAATTATATGCCGCCCTCCTTTATAAAACATATTAATCGGTTCATAATTTCAAGTCTATTTTTATTATCTTTCAATTTGATACAAATTAATCGAATACAAATTAAGAGGATTATCTGCCAATTTCCATTTAACGATATGTTTCGAATACCTTTTTAATCTCGATATTATTATTAATTCAAATTTCGCCGCATTATTATTAATTTGAATCTCAATATTACATCCAACTCTTGTCATTTGGACTCTTGTCCCGCGCTTTAACACTATTTCATGCCATATTCCTATCGGGAGATGTACTTTTAAATTGTATTTGCTCTCTCGCTGATTGAAATGAAAGCCCACGGCTTGTTTCGCGCAACCAGCGTGAAAACGTATTACCGCTGCTGATATATTATTCACGGCATTTACGCTCATCAAAAGTAAATACGGAATAATAAATTAATATCAAATCGTATGTCGTCTCATTGCTTGCAAATAACGCTTTGTAATGATCCGTGAATGGAACGCATTAGTATTTTCAGTCCGCGATGTAAAGGATACTATCGAACGATCAAGAAAAAAAACCTTCGAATCCCTTCAAGTGCTTTCTAGAGATATTACATCGATATTGTTACCAAGAAGAAGATATTTGTAAACAGAAATATTCGATGAAAAGAAATGCCTCAAAGTAATTCTTCGTATTTCTCGCTGTAGTTCATTAAAATAAGAATCAATTGTTATGAATATTTAATACCTATAGAGTTAATACTTCGTAGAGATTTAATACCTCGGCACGTTATTTTAATATATGTTTAATATATTTAATAATTGTGCAACTTATACATATATGTGTATATTCTTGACAAAAATAAATATTGGAAACGTGTCAATTTCTGTTAATAATTCAATTTTTTATAAAATTAAAATATCAATCTTTCAGAGAAATAATTAATCTTTTCCTGAGAGGAAGAAGATGTGATATATGAATTATTTAAAGTAATACTGTAAAATCGTTTCGCATTAAATTTATACGTGTAATTTATGGAAAATCGGTTAGGCGAAAAATATTCCGTGAAATCATGTCAGGTAGCTTCAGAATTAATAGATTCGTAATTTCCTTTGCGGATTGCTTCATAAAATGAGAAAGAAAGAGAGAGAGAGAGAGAGAGAAAGAGAATGACATCGCGGTGCTCAAAGATATAAGTTTGATTATCAAGATATTAATTTATATCGGAGGAATATATCTCTCGGCGAGAGAGAGACTTCCGCAGAGAGAGAGAGCTGCCGTTCCAATTTGTATTAATAACGTTTTCGAATGCAGGCAAATGAGCGTAAGATGCGCGGAAGTCGGTGAAGGAGATCTCCTCGGCGTCGGCGTCGTCGTCATCGTTGTCGTCCTTTATACAAGCGGCGAACTGCAACGTAGAGGCGCATCTCCTTCCTTACTCCAGTTTCTCGTGCATCCTACGCAATGCTATTAAGCTTTGGGCGAAGAGAGCACTTTCGTCTTAGCTAACTGCAATTTAATTTTAATTATGGTCGAGAGAGAAGTCGGGCTTCCCGCTATAATATCCAGCTCTTAGGTAACGCGAGATACGTACATGGAGGAGCGCCGTGAAATTTTTATCTCATCGAAATGCGCAATAAATCCCGCGATAAAAATCCGCAATGGTCGCGCCTTCGCGGAACGACTTATAGCAATAAAGCGGAGAATGGCGAAATATTCAAGGCGAGATGTCGCGTAGTGTTTGAAAGATTTTTACGAATTAAGGTGTCGACGTGAAAGAAAGCGTGTGTCGAAGAAGGTTGCGTATAATACATATAATTATAATTTTATGTAATATTATTAATATTTTTGTATGTGTATATATGTGTATACGCACACAATACAATGTAATATGTAATAATATGGGTGTAGCGTAGAAAAGTATATTGGAATCTTCTTTGAAAACTGCAGACGTTGCTTTTCATTTAATATTACATCTTACCAAGAATATTTTGAGTACAGTTATTATATGCAATATACGTGCAATTTCTCTTCCTCTATTTCTCTCTCTTTTTGTCTTTCGCACACATTCTTTCAACTGTGAAAGTAAATGTTTTAGAATCATCCATGCTGTGTAAGGTCATCGTCATTACGTCTTCAAAAGAAATTCGGGACACGATCGAAGATGCAAGCAGAATATTCTTGGCAATTTTCTTTCTCTTTTTTACTCTTTCTCTCCACATGTGAATATTATATTTTGATAACAATGCTAGAAGTTGGAGAACGAAATAAATGGAGGAGAGAGAGGAGCTTGTCAACTTTCATCCATTAACTTTCTCGCAAATGTCCTCCTCTCTCTCTCTCTCTCTCTCTTTCTCTCTCTCTTCATTAATTTCACTTTGCGCGCTTCAGCGTCAAAGTTCGAAAATTTACGCAGTTGAAATTTTCTCTCATCTATGCGCGTGTAAAGTTGGAATCGCCACCTGCAAAATTACTTCGTCGACACAGCAGCGGAACGAACGATCGGCCCCAGCTATTTCGACCAACTATAAGAGGTCAGCACTTTGCTCGTTTGCATTTTGTCGGCGACGTTATACTATTCATGCATACTTCCGATAATAGATAACTGTCGAAAATGCTTGTCTGATCGATTTCGATTGAAAATACGATGCTTTTATTCGGAATTATGATAACGATTCCGTCTCCAAAAGCATGCAACGGAAATAAATGTAATAACGTCAAAAGCGGAAGCTAATTATTCCATGGTGTTCTCTCTTTCTCTCTCTCTTTTTTTTTTCTTTCTCTCTCAAACGCTTAATTAGGCTACGGAAATATCGGAGTTGCGCGTATAAATGAACGTTACAAGAGATAGCTCGGACGATTGGAAAAGTTTCCCAACTTTTTTTTGAAGCTATCTCGCCGGCCGCTAATCAACTTCCTTTAACTTGCTTTAAGCCGACCGTCGTCTCGTCCCCTCCCTCCTTCATCTTCTTATAAAAGAGGATATTTTTAATGGAAAAGTATCGATTGAATGGTTTGAGATTCGCAAAAGGGAAATATCCTATAAAAATATTTACGATATAAAATTTAATGTTTGTTTTTTTTTTAATGTAACGCAAACAGAAAGACATCACACGATATTTAAATATCATAAGTGATACCTTGTAAAATGTGGCAGTGCAAAAAGACGAATCCCGAATATCATATCACGTGCATTCGTGAGCGAATAGTTATTCGATCGATTTGGGCAAAGTTTAAGCGTACGTTTCCGCTGATTCTGTTACAGACATGGCCATCTTCCTCTTTAACGGGTTTCTCTTATTGGGCTTTATCGTGGCTTCAGTACCGAATGTTCTGGTGTTGGGTTCACCAGATGCCATGCAAATTATGGATCAGGATCCACTCGTGAAAAAGTGTCGCTATCACAGGGATTTTTCGTTGCTGGAGGCGCGATGCTCGAATCTGGGATGGCAAGAAATCGCCTTAAATCTGAGGACAGACATAGAGGTAAGGTGTTGTTCAAAAATATCAACATAAATGCATAAATTGTCTACATTTGTTCTTATTTTAAATTAAATTGCAATAAAAAATAGATATATATTTTTTCTGTTATAAAAGAATATTTTCTCTGTATGCATCTTTATCTTATGCTATCTGCAATTCATGTAAAATAGAAATTAATAAAAGAATTCACAACAAGTTTTTTAAGGACCAATTCCTTCATTTACATTGCAACTTTATTAAGAGAAATTTCTATTTATATTAAAAATAATCTTCCTATATAAGTCTTTACGTATTTATTATTTATTATATATTTTATATAATTATTAGATCTTGTATTTGCCATCGAAAACGCGCCTATAAAATGAGAGAGAAATTGACAGTTAAATGAACATTATGTGTAAATTCTCTTACGCTCTCGTTTCCGCTCAAAAGATAAATCTGCCAGACTTAGTTGCACGAAGGATGCACACAAGACTGGCTACGAGACGGATTGATGTCCCAACGGGTTAACGCGTGCGCTGTCTTGTACCGTGCACTTTCTACATAATAGCATTACAGAAGTTTCGCTTTATCAACGTCGGCGATAAAATGCATACTTATTGGTATTCTCTCCCCCTCTCTTTATTTTTCTCTCGCTTTCTCTCTCTCTCCTTCTCTCTCGGACGCTCTTGTCAACTATTATTTACTTTTACGGTACACCCGTTTGACATCAATAAATTGTATGCGGCTCATGATTTTATGTAATATTAAGAGCAATAATGAATCTATCTTTATATGTCTGCGTATCGATTATCTATTCATTATTTCACAAAATATATGAATTATTAATTATTCTCTCTCTACCTGTCGAGTATTGTAAATTTTTGTAATTGAATCTCAAATTAAAATTTGATACACGTTACAGCAAGAGACATTAATTATGTATGTTATTAAATTCGACACACGAGACTATTGTATTGACATCTATATACATTTTTTTATGAAAAGGAGTTTAAATTCTTTTACGATTTCGCGAAATACATTTTCGAGTCACTTGTTATTTCTTTTTTAACCGCTTGTCCAATACAATCTCGTGTGTAAATCCGGTACGTTTGCAGCTATACCTTGGTACTTTGGTAAACTTGCGCCGCGAGGAATCCCAGGCAAAACTCCAGACACGCTGAATCCGGAGATTGGGTTGTCCAGGGTCACGAGGATAGATGCGTTCCGCAATACACTTGAGAAATTTTAACCGCGCGAAGATATTGTCAATGCTCCAGTGCATTTGATCTTGTATTCCGGATGTCCCAAATGGAATCCGAAAGCAACGAGTTGTCATCGTAAATTGTTTCCACACAGTTATCTGTTTTTTAACAAAATAAATAATTTTTCTCAAGTAAAACTTTATAAATGCCATTTAGAGATAACGAAATCGTAATTTCCATTCTTGTTTTAGCGAATAAATTATTTATCGTTTTAAAACTTTTTTAATTTAATGAATAATAATGTTTATCTACATTAATTTTTTTTTTAGTCAACGTGTGACGATTTTGTAAAAATTTTGTGAATAAAAATTTGGCAATATGTTAGAAATTCGCAAAAATTCGAAGCGTTTATATAGTATAAAATCACATCGTTATTATAATTGACAATAATATACTTGTGAGGATTATGTGTAAATTTACGGTGCAATATATCAAGAATTATACATAGACGTATATATGAATTTGCGCGGACAGAGAACTGTTTATGCATTCAATTGACAAAGTTGACTTGTACGCAGAGAATATATAGTAGTAGACACATTCGCAGAAACATCAGACATACTAATTTCGGAGTTTGGTCTATTTCAACTAAGATCAACAGAATATTTTATCATTTATCTTACAAGAATTATCATATAGACTATTTGTATTTTAAAAAGCAAACTACGAAAACTCGAAATGTTTAATTTATATAGTATGATTAAAATTGTTAATTTGACAAATTAAATATTTGTCGAACAAATATAATTAGTATTTTTCTCTCGATTAACTTCACAATCGATTATTTTAGATTATTTTAAAAATTTTTTATTTACAAATTTAAACAGTTTTCTTTATTAAATTAATATCAATAAAAGGATATTAAAATATTTATTTTTTTCATTGCGTATCGAAAGGGTAGATATTGTGTCGAAGAAACCATTTTCCATCGTGTTAATATCTCGCATCCTTGCATTATTGAGTTAGCTGGGCCATTAATTCTTCTCTGATCAGCTAATCTGACAAGTGCATCTTTACGGAAACAAAGATTTTATTGATAAACGTTGACCTATATCCCTTTTCAGTAGAATTACCATTTTTCATTCCGAAACATTTTTACTAACAGAAATCTGATGAATAGCATATCAATCTTTTTGTCTGAATAACGCACTGTGTGCCTGTAGAAATAAAAGTTAGCATTATCCGATATTATTTATTTCTCTCATAGTAATGTAATATTATCGAACTATATAATTTATTTTTCAAGTCATAAATTAATGTGTCACAAAAATTCTATTCTATTTATTATTAATAATCTTTCGAAAACACACATGACTATTTTATCTGTCCACATATATGCATGTTCTAATATTCCTGATATTCCTTCTTTGTGTTTAGGTGTTGGATGCTAGCGGGAATCGAGTGAGGGAACTGACAAACAACGACTTGACTCCTTACAAGAGTCTAGCTTTCATCTATCTACGGGACAATTTCATTCAAAACATCGAGGAAGCAGCCTTCGCTAATCAGCTTTATCTGCAGGTGTTGGATCTCACGCAGAATGGTTTGGACAATCTACCTACGGGTCTCTTTCAATTACCGTATCTCCGCACGCTCTATCTCAGCCGCAATAAGCTCACCGATTCGATATTCAACGTAGAGGTCACCTCACCCCTCAAGATACTACATTTAGACAAGAACAAATTCACCAGAATTCCGAATTTAGGCGTTCAGCCGAATATCAATTATCTCAACATGTCCAATAATATCATCACTTCGATCAGCGCTGAAGATTTGGCGCCATTCTGCTCGCTGGAGACCCTCGATTTATCGAAAAATGTGATCAAATTCAATACTGGCGGTTGCGAATGTCAAATGTTCAACGCTTGGGTGAAACTACGGGAGATCAAGATCAAGCCTAAGTTCTACAATTGCATCAATTCGACCGAAGATTGCGCCAATGCGCAATTCAGCAATCGGACGTACGAGCTGTACAACGAATGCAAATCCGTCATACAGGAAAAGGTGGAGACCGAGAAGGCTCGATCAACATGGATACTGGTGGTCTCATGCGTCTCCGCGTTCCTCTTGGTAATCTTCGTGGTGCTGTTTTGCGTGCACAAACGGAATCGCAGGCGACGCAGGGAGCAACAGAAGGAGCAGCAACAGTTAACGGCGAACAACGCCAACACCGAGCTGCTCAATAGTAATCTGAAAGCCGATAATTCGTGAAATAATCGCCAGAAGAACATATAGCCGTAGAACCATGCAATGGCTCCTTTACATCAATGATGAGAGTGGAATTCTACGCATTCCCGAAGGGAATGAAAGTTTTGATGTATTCACTTTGAGAAATAAACAACGTTTAAAATATTCAAGAAAAAAACTGTTGGTGTTTATTAAGAGTTTAATCGATGGATTTACAGAGAATTTAAATCGGATATATCTGCGGTTACGTGCCTAAGTTTGTATCTGATCATTAATACACATCGCGATGTTCAATAAACATAAGATTATATAACTCGAATGCTCCTGGCGCGATGCCATTTTGAAAAATATTACAAGTTTTTGAGAAAAAATGAGATATATTATTATATAGCTTCTTAAAAACGCGAACGACGCGAAACAGAAGCGTTATCATCCAGAAGCCAGAACAAAGATACCGAACAAAATATGTTGGAATGATACTTATTGTTAGAGATTACTTAAGATTTTGAAAAGGGAAACAGCTTTATCGAAAGTACTCGTGAAGCTCCGTGGAGTTATACTTGTAGGATATAAACGCGTTAACTTATAAAATGTGTAAATGTTCTATATTGTGTTCACATATATATAAATATAATATATATATATATATATATATATATATATATATATATATATATATATATATAATGGTTAGGTTGATATTTACATATAAAATCTATGAATGTGCGGCGGATTTTCAAGAAACTCTGTGTGTTTGAACGAATATTATCTCGCTATATTCTCTTCGCGACGATATGTAGGAAATCTTAATGTTGATTTCTTCGACGTCAGTCGAATGAATCTCGAAGCCAATCGCTCAATGTCGTCGCGTGCTTTTTGTCGATGTAATAGCGTGCATTTACTGTACGGTTTATACGGTACTTAAGCAGAATTTTTTCCAACGGAAGATTTTGCGACGCCAAAGTGAATTTCTTTATATCCAAGTGATGATTTTATTTACTTTCTGTCGAAAAACTCTTGCAATATTTTGCGAATGTTTTTTATTTATTTCCAATCAAGTTTAAATAGTTGTATGTATGTATGTATTTATTAATAGCTCTAATCGAAACTTTGTGTATTTATTTGTAAAGATAATGTATACTCACATTGTAATAACAAACTTATGCGCTTATTTCCTCGAGCTATGATCTGTCTCTTTTCGACACATTTCTATTTCTAAAATATTTTCGTTATATGAATATGTATATTATTGTATAAATTGCTACATATACATATTTAGAGGATAAATAATTAAGTTAGATATATATATGTGTGCGAAAAGTTCTTTTCAGTATGTAAAAGAATATTATCAAATTATATTTTAAACCTTGTCACCGTATTTTGTTTAGTTCCTGATACTTATATTTATTTCATACGGGTATAAGAAATTGTTTGATTTCATCGTAATATCGTAAGGCGAATAGAATATAATCGTACTATCGAAATGATTAAATATAAACTTACATATATACATATATATAAAACGCGCGCATTTTATGATATGTCAAAAAAACTTTTATACTAATTTCCACGTTACCTTTTTTAATATGTAATATGAGAAATCTTTATATGTACAAAAATATTAATAAAACTTGGGGATCCATAATAAATCGTCTTCAAACAAGATTAACAATTTCTACATCTTTTATCTAACAGAAAAGTGTTCAAGAGGAAGAAACTTTTTTTACACAAATATTTCTCTGAATTTATAAAATTATTTAATATAAAAATAAAAATGAGGTAATAAGAGTTTAATACAGAAAATTAAAATCTTCGTAAAAAATACTGTACTTACAAATTTCAAAATCTCTTCCTTGGGATAGGCTTTTTAGTCAAGATTTCCTCCACAAATATTAAAAGCATATACTATTTTAATTTTTTTATTCGATCTTAAAGATTTATAAGATAATGTAATGTATACACTTCGAAATACATTATCTGTACAGTCATACAGAAGAGAGTAAATATAAAAAACGCATTTTCATCACCAGAACATTTTTATTGATGAATTTTGTTCTAAAAGAGATGAACATTGAAAATATCAATTAATTTATAATTTATAATTAATAATTTACGCGAAAGTGCAATTTTATCATTTCGATAAGATATAGGATTCTTAAATTTTAAAACAGATTCTTTTTTTTTTTTAATTCTATGTACAAATATTTAGCTTATTTAATATGTTCTTGCAAATGTAGAATCTATCCAAACAATGTAATCTGTCTATTTTGTTTGATACTCTGTCTCTATCAAAAGATTTATTCTAACTTAATGTTTTCCTAAACATAGCTGCTATCGTGAAAAAGAATGATTATACATTTGTACGGTTAATTTTTATAATTTTTATTATTAGTATATAAATGATATAAAGCTGAATACAATTGAGAAAAATCACTTTGAATGCGCAGGCGGACACGCGACTGTAAGAACAAATATATGTTTCTTGTATTTTCTATGAATCTTATTTCGGTAGAAAAATCAACCGCGCATCAGTAGCAGCCGGTGCGCAGTCCGATGCACAATTTTACGAAGAACCTGTTCGTTTAGCACTTAGCTGCGACATTCGAGTTAAATATCACTCAACCAGAAAATGGAAATAACATTCAATCGAATGTTAGTTAAGCGTTTTCTTCGTATTAGTATGAGATGACGAAACTGTTTATCCAACTGATAGTTATCATATATTGCTTACCCACAATTTTTCATACTGTCATAAAAAAAAAGCTAAGAAAAAAAAGAAAAACGAATACTGACAGTCTATTGAATATAATCGCTCTATCGAATATTATCTTTTGGATATAATAAATGATAACATAAACATAACTTATCACTATAAATTAAGAAAGTATTAATTATTAAAACACATTTGAAATATCATTTGTCCAATGTTACAATTTGAAAAGTATAAACTGCATAAAAGTTCACATTTACCACCATGCTAATGTGTAATGGATACATTAGCATGGTAGTAAATGTGAACTTGTATGCAGCACATAACAATGGAGAAGAAATTTGCTGAATGCAAGCATTACTACTATTAATGTCCGCACAACCATTGTATGGCTGTGGGTTCAACGGAATATAATAGCACAGTTTTATCTCTTTCTCTTATGTAATAAAGGAATTTGTAAATGCAATATATTTCATTCATACTGCGGAACCCAGTTGTTAAGTTTGATTAGAATTCTTGCGCATTAGCTGAAATATACAATATCTTCTCTTTCTCATACGTTATACATACATACATATATATATATATATATATTATATATATATATATATTCAACTGCAATAAATGGGAGAAAATTATATAATGTGTTTTAACTGCAATATATATTTATCATTCTTTTTTTTTCTATTTATTATCCTCCTGCTATTCAAGTGAATATTCAATAAATGAATCTCGTAAAACTTATTATGTCTATGACATTATGCTCTAAATTAATTTCCCTCTAATGGTACAATTTTTTTCTCATTAATTTTTATACAGCGTTTACAAAGCTTCATTATCATAGTAACTTTTAAAATATTTTGACAATAATATAATAATAGACAAAGAACATATTGCAATTATGAAACACATTTTATATAATTTTCTTACATTTATTACAATTAAAAAAAAATAGATATTCTATTGGAATATACAAAACTAATATATTTTTATGCATATGAAGATCAAATATAAAATATTCTCATATTTAAGCTGAAAAAATGAACAGAAATTAATTTAGAGTATAATGTCAAAGATATGAAATACAAGATTCACTTGTCAAAATTAATTTAGAGTATAATGTAATGTAAATATTTAAGCTTATGATAAATTTATGTTCACATAATGCGGCAACGTTCTTCGCCTTGGGGATCGCTCTGAAACATAAAACGTACGAAATTTCATCAACAAAACGAACGGAAAAAACATAAAATAAATATGAGTAATTACCGCGGGCCCCACAATTTATCTAATTCACTGCATGAATATTTGGCATGTTTATTTAGTTACATATACAAGCGAACCTTAATGAACCTTTATTATTGTTAAATTCACACAGTAAAGAAGACATATATATGAAAATATGAGATATAGTCTTTTGATAATTAACATTACTCTATTTTGTCTGAAATTCTTTTGCATATAACATTTAATCCACATAATCCCTATTATTTGCATACAATCTGTATAATCTATATTAATATAATAATGTACAATACATCAGTTACACACTAAATTAAATTTATGTTATTCATAAATATTACTATCATTCACATTTCAAATAAAGCAAAACGCATATAATTTCTCATATTACATGTCATATAATTCAATTATATATACATATGTCAATAATCACAAAATGAACAATTGATATTTATGTAACGTCAAAAGAAAAAAATTTGATTATTCATTAAAATGCAATACAAAAGCTTATATAATCGACGTAAAAGCTTTCGCACAGATATTTAGAAAATTTTAAATTTAAATTAGAACACATTATAACAGTATTTATAATACATAAAATTTGTTTATTCACAAATTATCATTAAATATTCAAATCCTATTTAAAAAAAAAAAGTTTTAAGCTTAATTATCTACGCAAATAATATTTAATGATGTGTATGTTTTATACAATAATCATAATAATATATTTTAATTAAAGACAATGTGGTTAATTGATGGGAAATGATATAATAATCTTAACCAAGATTATATTAATTCTCGTAAGGCATGAAATTTTAGTTGTTAAGCGGTGAGTATCCAGGCAAAGTGCTGCATGAAAACCAGCAAAATATGAAGCAAAATAATTCTTATATATTATATGAGTGCGAAGAATTATTGACGACGTAATGTTCGAACATCTGATAGGTTATAAAATAACTTACATAAAGTGCCCATCAGAGTCGTGTGCCCTCACCCTTAATACGGGTAGAGATATCTTCTCTATGGAACAAGAAGTGAATTGTTGTAAAAACGCTACCCCCCCGAAATTAGTTGTCTATAACTGCAACACTTATTCTGTATATAACAAATCTCGAAAAACGCAAGTGAAAGGTAAGTAATGTCTGAATTACATTTTTGTGTAAATGTTAAATTGATCCCTAATAATGCGCCTTTAAATAAATATTCTCATAGCCACATTGTCTTCTTTTAATAATGTTTAAGAATCTCAAAAAATGTTCTCTTCTTTCTTTCTCTGACGTTTGTTTCTATTGATCAGTATCTTTTCAGTTTTTTTGCTAAAGAAATATTTTTTATATTATTGCAATTGTAGATTATTATAATTTTGTAAGTACAATTTCATACGTCGATAATATATCAAAATATTGCTGCAGTTAGAATATAACGCTGATAAAAATGGGATATAATAATGTAATACTGACGTAAACGTTATATTATTATATCCAACTTTCCTAATGACGTCTACTCTCGTTTTTTAATTTCGGAACTAGTTTAAAGCTTTCTACGATACTTACAATATTCAATGTAATGCATAATGCAATAAAACATTTACTGTGTCCTTACCTGTTGGTGATGAAGTTCTTCTGCTGATCGGAATCCCATACTTTCCCTATGCCGAGATAAACTTGTGGACAACTGTTGTCTCTTGCGTTCAGAAGTTGCCATTTCCTATTAAAAATTACAAAATTTATTCCTTTAAATATTTTCTATAATACTTCAACTAATAAGAGATCTGTTCCTATTTTGCAAAATTTGTTTTTCTCAGAGTTTTAAAGATATCATTACACATGTCGTTATTGGAAAAAAAATATTTATTAGGAATTAAATGCATGATTGGTAATGATGCATACTTCTCCTTCGTTATTGATCAGAGTTGTAGTCATGTTGTCTGCTACAAACCACTTCTGACCCTTCATAACGATGTTGAACGGTGGCTCGTGCGTTGCGCCGATATCAGCCGACCATACCAATACATTAGCACCTCCTTCGAGCTTAGCGGTACGATGAAACTTGAACACTGTTTCCAGAGCACCAGCTTTACGCATAAGCTGCCAACCGCTCAAACTTATTTCCTGTTACAGAAATTATAATATTCATTATGTAGAAATATGTGTTACCTATAGTTTAAATAAGGTCGAAATGAATTTCTTAGTCTTACCTTACTGCCCTTATTAGTAAGTTTCACAAATCGTCCTTGGGGATCTGCTTCTGCAATTTCTACGTCACCCCTAGCAGTACCTGTAACGCTATAATCACTACTACTGCGCTCTTCACTTTCCTCCAACAAAGTGCGTTTTCGTTTACCGCCTCTAAGAGGCGTATGTCTGGACGGAGTTGCTCTACCAGACGTGTTCGTCGATTGTACAGGTGTGATGTTCAATCTGAAAATTAAAATAAATTGATATTTAATATTTACGTTGAAGCAACATATAATATCGATAACAGATTTCGGATTCAATCTTATATATCCTATTTATATCTTTTAAGACAGTTAACAGTGAAATATTAAGAGTTCAACAAAAATGGAATAAAGATTAAAAAAACGAAATTGCAAGAAAAATTTAAGAAACAAGATTACAAAGAAGAATTACAAGATATAATTAAATAGTAAGGATTAAAAAAAAATGAATAGAAAGAGAAATTAAATGAAGAAAAAGAGAAAAGAGAATTAGAAAGAAATTAATATTGTTCAATAAAAGATGTAGATCCAATAAGGATTTAAAGAAATAAGGAAGAAAGAGCATTTACCATTCAAATTTAAAGAGATTATGATATATATTGGCTCACCTGGCCTCCTCAGACTCGAGCATTTTACGATATGCAGCGATTTCTAAATCAAGTGCCACTTTAATGTCCATGAGATCCTGATATTCTTGCAACTGCTGAGCCATTTCGTCTCGCATGCGTGCTAATTCTGCTTCCAATCCAGCCAAGCTTTCTGCGTGACGAGCACGCTCGTTTTCTCGTAAATTTTCCAAATCTCTGTCGAAAGTACATTTATGTTATTTGTTTATTTACTCATATATTGACATATTATATATAGAAATAACATTAATTAGGTATATGCCAATTATAAATTATAAAACATTTTTTTCAGACCACTTTTCTAAAACCATTAGATCGATTTTTCTATATTATCTATTCTTTTTGTTCATTTCAAAATAACATATATGGTATGGAGTATGTAAATAAATAATTATATTTAAATATTAATATTGAAGATTTTATTTTATAAATGAGAAAATTTTTTTCTAGAAAAAATTACCTGATTCGTGCATTAAGCGCATTATTAGCTGCTTCGAGCTCACTGATTCTTGAATTAAGCCCTTCGATTCTAGAGCGTGTCTGTCTTAATTCTTCGACTGCTATGCTGGCGGCACCACTATTACGTTGTGCATGAGATGCTAAGTTCTTGATTTTATTTTCATATAAAAGTTCAATCTCCTCTCGATTAGCACGCATCTGCGCCTCATATTGATCGCGTAATTCTTGTAACGACTGCTGTAATTTAGCCTCATATTGTTCTGCGAGGCGCCCATCTATTTCAGATATTTCAACCTAAAATGCAAACATAACATTATAAGTGTTGTTTCGAAAAATTTATTTAAAAAAATCAATGAATAAAGCAAAATTTACAAATTGAAATTAAAATGATTATATCGACATTACTGATTAAATTTAACGTGTTTTTTCTATTACAGTTCTGATTATATTATCAGTTTTAAGTATAAATATTAATCTACTGACTTTTCATGTAAAAATAACAATAAATGAACGATATCTTTGTAATAGTATAATAAAGTCTAAAAGACCTTGTCGTTTTCTTCATTACTTACTTGTCGTCTCGTACGAGTCTCCGTAAGCTCTTGCTGAAAAACTTGATCCTTGAAACTGATGTCTTCTTTAAGACTCTGAATATTATTCTCCAAATCGATTCGTTGCAGAGTCTCCTCCTCCAGGTGTTTTCGCGCGTCGTCGAGCAATGCTTTCAATCGATCAATTTCCTTCTCTGAATCCCGATCTTTCTCGGCGAGCTTCTTGCGCTCTGCCTGCGATTGATTGAACTGCGATTGCAGATCACTACAGCGTGTTTCATATATCATTGCATTTCGTTCTGCTATCTGCAAGTCTTTCGTCTTCTTTTCCAATCTAAAGAACATACGTTAAATAAATATTAGTCGTGCGCATTAAATATATATATATATATATATATATATATATATATATATAAATTTATTGTCGTTAATAGAATGATTTATCTTCGAAGTACGCACTTACTATTCTAAACATTTTATTTAAACTCTTAATATTTTCGAAAACGCTCGCTAGATTTCTACAAGTTTTTACATCAACGTAGGAAGTTTGTAAACCGCGATATAAGCACCCGATTATATAACGTTTTATCTTTTACAGGAGAGATTACATATATTTACATACTAAATAAAAATGTAAATTAAAATATCACTTTAATTTTAAGATTGTATTTTAAGATTGTTTGTATTAATTACTTATCATTTACTTGTATTAATATTTACATTTAAAATCACATATTAATGTGATATAATGAAAGATACAATCAAATATTATATTAATTGATGAGGATTAAACGCTTCTATATAATTGCAATTTTATTTAAAGATGAAAGAGAAATTTAATAAGCGTTTATATACACAAAATCGATTTTATTAATTCATCAAAGATAAGCTTCTATCCTTCGAATCTTCCACGAAGGACATAAAATACTCGGAACCGACATCGTGTCGTTATCCTTGGCCTACTGCCTTTAGACAGGTAGCATCGAATGATACTATTCTCGTCGAAAATGAAAATTATTTTTTTCTTACCATGATTATCTTCAGAAAATATCGACAATATTTTCGATAATATTCAGAAAATATGATTTAACGACTCTTATATTAAATTGAGAAAATAGTTTAGAAGCAAGTAAAATGAATGAAAGAAAATAGATTAAATATAGAATAATTTCTTGTAGGATATTTTTAATTGTTTTTTTTATTTTGCGAGAATTCTCCAGTTTTTAAGTGAAAAACGCAATTATAATACGTGACATTTATCAAGGTGTAAGCGGGGAGCATTATGACAAATTCGCCATCGTTTACAGCATTCCATCGAATGTAAAGAAGCCGAGGTCCGGTCGAGGAGAGAACGCGCTTCTATTTCAAGCAGTACACGACCCACATCGAGAATTTTATTTTCTACCATGCCCAGACTGTTGTCTTAATATTCGTCCGGTTGCTAGAAGATATCGCATTGCCATTCTTAAAGTTAAAAATGAAAGATATTCACGAAAATATATTGATTAATTGCAAATTGAATTATAATTATCATCTAATTATGCTTATTGGGATACTTAAAATCTGAAATTATAAACGTCACGCTAGTCAAATTTGATTTAATGTAGATCATTATTTATTGCGTTGTTTTTATTTAGTTTAATCATATATTATTGATAAATATATTCTTATTATTTGTATTTTAGTTTCATTAATCGATCATTTGCGCCAATAAATTTTTATTCAATATTGTCATATTATTGAAACAAAAATTGAAGTTATAAAATAACAGATACTAAATTTTCAATCATATTGACAATTTATATATTTTATTTTATATTTTATATCTATATTTTCTGTGTGATATAGCTTTGTAAATTCTATATCTACATCTATTTTCTATATCATATATCTATAAATATATATGTTCGAGATATAATTTACTTTTATAGCTGTCATTTCTATCATGCATTCATAATAATTCGTATTGTAGCTTTATAACACTATCTCAAGTTATCTATTTTAATATTTCGTTAAGTGTGCCTTTATGATAAATTTTATACGTATGCAAAACATGTATTAATTATTATAATTATTATATGCATTATAAATTATTGTCAAATATGCAACGAAACGCGATTTAATCCGAATTGGACACCACTGCTCTAAACAAAGAGCAAGTAAAGAAGGGAGCTTCGGATTTATACGCTTCTTAGCAGGGGGTGATGGTCGTCGCCCTCATCTTCCCTCGCAGCCAATCGGAGCGAAATGAGACAGACGAGACGCTTCAAAAGTGTTACAATGTTATGTATACTATACATGAACGAACAACGAGCATTTCATGTTCTACAAAATTAAACGTCAAGTTTAATTGCGAACTAATTTGTCATTTTGCGCTCACGCGATTATTAATTGGAGATCCAAGTGAAAATCTTAATTTTATTTTATTACTCGATTATATTAAATGAAATGTGTAAAAAGGATTTTTTGTTTACTTGTCAGATGAATCTATTCTGTAAATATTTTTTATATATATGCTAATTATTTTTTAATGCCTATATATTCGTTTAATACATTCTATTTAAATAAAAACATTCTATTACATTCTATTTAAATAAAAAAATATTATTTTATTATGTTGATAATTGTTTGACTACATATAAATAAATATTGTAAATAAATAACATTAGTCTTGTCAATTTCAAACAAATCAGTAAGAACTCTAAAATGTTCAATTTGTCTTAATTCAAAGATGATCATCACGTTACATGACACCTTGTACATAATTCTGACCTTAGAACGCGGTCTTCGCAGCTCCAAAAATGGTTTTACATTCGCGAGTGTACGGCATTGTAAAATGGCTGACACACACGCACGTGATGTCATCCTCGATTTCGTACAACGGTTTTTCAGACGGCGATCGATTTCGCGACTCCGAAATTTTATACAAAAGCATCCTCGAGATCAAGCCACGTGATACAAAATTCGCATCGATTCACACAATCATCGCCTCGATAGATATCAATTCATGCTGATAGTTTGATTAAATTCCGATATTTATCCACAAAATAACAATATGTAAAAAAGCTTTTATTTTAAAAATTATACTTTAATTATACTTTTATTATAAATTATTAATTACATATCATCTTCGGTTTTATCTTATAACATTATTTTATTTTTTCCTTCAAATAAAAGACAATATCTCATTTTTTACAAAAATCTAATAGAGTTATTATTATAAAAATTTAAATAGAAAAGAGATTTTAAACAAAATTTTGCCTTTTTTATTCACGTGAAAAACACGTTTCATAATGATTGCACATATGTGCATAAGCAATAATTAGCAATATTTAAACGTGTCATCGACATTACGTAAAAAAAGGAACGTACGAATAATATTATTTATCATGCGTTTATCATAACTGAATTACGGATTTAACAACTGTTACTTTAGGTTTAGAAGGAACTGAAAAGAAATTCTTTTCTTCAGAAAGTCCGAGAAACTTTCATTATTTTCGACAACAATGGAGCAAAATGAAAAGTTTTGAAAGAAACTTTAAAAAATGTACAGAATGCCTTGCAAGGTTACTCGTATTTCTGTGAACACTAATATAATCATATATTCTTTAACGAATTTTTTTCTTATTAAAAAAAATGTTATTTTAATTTTATATTTATCACATTTTTAAGATTTGTAACGCTTTTCACAAGATTCACAAGATTTTCAAGAGATCTAAAGATTAAGGAAAACAACTTCAAATATTAATCCGAGAATAAATAATAAAACTTGAGATACATAAGTCTGTGAATCCTATAAGATTATCATTAAATTTCAATATTTTAAATATTCGTATTTCCCGAGTGTTTTATTAAAAAGCGCTTGCATCATCGTAACTTTTTTTCGCGTGCCCAAGGATTACTAGATTTCTGAATGCTAATTATAATTGAAAGCCGTCTATCGTATAATAAAGAGCCACAATTTTGATCGCTGACACAATTCCGTTGGAAAGTACTTTCCTACGGAAAGTCCTTAGATCCAAGACAACAAGACAAAAGAGCCACGATAACAAATGCAATATATGGCATTGTTTGCAGGGCAAACAATCGAGTCGCGAAATGCCATCATATTAATAGATCATGATATTACATCGACATTGTTAAAAACGTCTGTAGCGTGAAAATGAGCTTGTACAAATCATGACTATTTCCCGGATTTAAATCTTGATACTTTGATACGAATACTTTTAATCAATATGCAAAATATTCTACTAATATGATTTATTTTACAGAAATATTTTATAACGTGCAACTTGACTTGCGGTGAAAATGTAATTTCGAAAGGTGCAGATAATGATAAAAATTGATGCGTTTCTGAACCTTCTTTCTGAACCTCAGGTAAAAACTGGATACGACAGATGCTTTACGGGAAACATGTCGCGTCGTAAAGCATTCCGATAGTAACGGTACATCAGAAAACACCGTAATTTCTCGTCACCTCAAGCCCAGCCCTTTAGACTTCGATTATCGCATTAACTTGTAATTTAGAAATACCTTATAATTACATTAAGCATGCAATTGTCGCTATAAACGTATAAATGCAACTCTGTGTATTTCACGTGAATGAAAAGAACAAATGAAATTTTATTCATAAAATGTTTCTTTCTATCTGCACACTTGATGGTTTTACTAATTTAAATAAATTATTTTGTATTTTCCTAATATAAAAAACAATATATCTAATTTTATAAAAAATATTATATTAGGGAAATACAAAATAACTTAATAAAATAAAACAAAACACATGATGAGCAGCTTACGATGAAATCTTCTAATTTTTTTCCATTCCGTACATTATTAATTTGTATGAGTAACCGACAGAATTAAACAAAGCTGATCAGCGCGATTGATCCTCACAATGTGGGAAAACCGAGATAAAGGATTGAAATTGAATAGGTGTATTGTAGTAAAAGTTTCTCCGAGTTTCACTCTCGCAAAGAATCGATCGATTCAACAGTAAAATAAAACGCGCCGGAAGTATGTATACGTATATGAAGGAACATGTGTGAAGGAACGGAGTCAATGTTTTTAGGTCAGATGATACGTTGACGCGCACGCTGACATCATCGCCGCATAGTAAACGTGACGCAATCGCTCGTAGTAACGTCACCGGGGCCCGGCCTCCGTTCATTCGGACCTTCTCCTGGTCTCGGACGGCACCGAGACGCGCGCTCACGCCGAAAATTATTTCCTGCCCACATCGAACCCTTATTCGGTCCTCTGTCCTTTTTTTGAAATTCACGGACAATTTTTTTTAGCGTAATTCTTGACCGAGAATCCTACAGTAATAACTTCGTATACTCCGTAATATAAAAAATATTTAAAGAATGCAATGCATATATACATACGCAATTGTATACATATACACATAAATATACACATAAATATATGTATCAAGATGCACAAAAAATTATAAATAGAATTTTCTGACGTGAATTATGAATTATTTAAGGCAGGCCTATTTCAGATGATTCATGGCTTGTGAAAAATTCTACTTATAAACTTTTGTAGTCTGAAATATATATGAAAATCATTGAAAAAATCAGAATATATATACATAAATAATGATAAACAGAATCCTGTGTACCTTGAATTCCATTGTAAATTATATATATTATCTTCTTTCATTTTTTTATTAAAAAAAATGTTTTAAATTATTTTTCGTAAATAGATTTATTTGCATTTCTTTTTATTATCTCGATTTTTTTTATTATCTCGAAATCTTCTTCTATAGCTAGAATGCTTTCTATATATTATTAAAAAAAGTTTACATATTTCTTCTAATTTATCTTGCTGTATATCTTTTGTTGTATAAATAGTATATTTTCAGAAGGAATAGAAAAGTATTAAAAAGAAAATAATTCTTAATCCTTTTAACAAATTTTGTATCTTGAATTTTTTATATATATTTTAATATAATTTTAAATGTTTACTTTTTTGTTTCCTCGTTTAATTTAAATTAATATATCTGCATATTAAAGCCAATTGATCATCTAGAGGATCTTATCTTGTTGACAAACATACACACTTTATTTATAACACGTGACGCATAACCGTCTGCTGGTTAATTTAAAGATCGACAAAAAATTATCTTATAGATTCTTTTAACTGACAAAATCTCTTTTTCGCGGCGAATGAATTGATAGGGCCATGAGAATCGATATTATTAAACGCAAATGAGGTAAAAGATAACATAATGGTACAAAAGTATCGATCGCAAACACAGGTTGAGAATATTGAACGCTCTTATAATGCACATTGCTAAGAATCCATTCTAGATGGCCTAATTTAATTTTTTGTTATTCATTCACCTTACCATTCTTTAATGTTACATTTTTTATAGCTTGTAAAAATATATGTAAAAAATATTGGATGGAAAATATTTAACTACGGTATGTCTTAAAATATGTATATAATAGATACATGTCTCTCTCTCTCTTTCTCTCTCTCTGTCTTCGTATAAATTATTTAAACTTCTCAACATTTACAATACAAAATACTGTCTATAAGTCTACTATCTGTGACAAACCAGCAAATTAAATTCACATTATAGCGAGTGTGTGCATTTTTCAATAAATGGATATTCTTATCTGATAATTTCTCAAAAATTACCGAGTCAAGGAATGTAGGAGAGAATGACTAATAATCCGTAATGTTCAAGAGTGCGACGTAAACATGTTGCACACGTATAAATCGAACAAAATCAATATCAAATCCTTATCTATATGAATATTAAAATAACATTAACAACGAAAGAATTTTTATATCAATTCAAACAACATGCTTTAATAAAATATGGAAAAATTCATAATATATAAATATAGTCACACCTTAAAGTTTACGTCATCGCTATTTCAAGAAACACATTAATTTCTAGGATATAAATTATTTATGATGTATTCATATATATTGCCTTTGTGTCGTAAAATTAAACTCGTAACAAATATAATCAAACTCGAGATTATATGTCATGTCACTAGTAAAGAAACTGCGTGCAAAAAGATACAGTTTACAGAGACTGGATTAATTTAAGAATAGAGGGAGGCCAGAGTCGGAAATATTGAAAATACAGAGACTCGATGCGATGAAGACGCATGATCGCGTGCAAGATTATCAGTCTGCGAATGCGTGCAACTAAATGATTCGAGGCCGAGAGGGGAAATTGAAAATATGAGATGATTTGAAGCGAGATTGAGTCGTTATCTAATATATTTTTACAATCTGTCACAGATGCAAACAAAATGTCTCGGGCTCTATAGCGGTGAAATCCGAGCTTTACTTTGCCGACTACTGCAGTGCAACTAATTTCTAAACAATAATACATGTCTACCTTATACAAGCAAGAAATTCACGAATTTATTAAGCATAAAACGAGATAAAAAAATCCTATCAAATTATTTTTATACAGAAACCTCACCCTCGGACAGACTATGATTCTCGAAATGTCGCAAGCTCAATTTGCGCCAATATCTATCAATGTTACTTGCGATTAATGACATTTCCTTATTCATTTCGAGTAAAGAAGCAATGTAAAAAAAAGCCGACTCGAGATGGATACAGCTTATTCGCCTTTTAAAGATTATCGCGCGATTACTTACTTGCTCTTGAGATCTTCATTATCATCCCAAAGCCGTTTGGTGTCGATCTCGAGCTTGGCGCGTTCCCTAGCCGTCTCGTCGAGCAGCTTCCGCGCGTCGGAGAGCTCGTGCTCGTACATGGCCTTGATGTTGGACACCTCCCGGGTGACGGTCTCCTGGGTGGTTTGCACCTCCCGCGTCAGCCGGGAGTTCTCGGTCTCGAGGTGACGCACCTTCTCGATATAACATGCCAAACGGTCGTTGAGATTCTGCAGATCCTGCTTCTCCTGCATCCGCGAATAGCGGGTAGGGCTGAGCGGGCTACCCGGCCGCCGGCCGACGATCGGCGTCGACGTGCCCTGGGGATTGGACGGGGATTGGAGGCTCGCCGACGACGACGAGGCGATCGTCGCGGAAGAGGCGGCGGCCGTCGCCGCCGCGGTCTTCTTGCCGGACTTGGTCGACATCGTTGACGGAGGAGGTCGGTTCTGGTGGCCTCTCTTGCACGCGGTCTCTCGGTTACGTGTCGCGACTAACGTTCCGAGACCCTCTCGGACGCCGAGGGCCGGAAAGAGACGGAAGAGCGCCGGGCGCGTGCGTACTGGCGTGGAACTCGTCGACTCGCTGCCGAAAGCGTCAGCGCGTCCGTGCGAGCGCGTGTTCTATTCGCGATCGGATACACACCTCGCAGCTAAATGCGCACTACTGGTCACGGTCAGCGCGGCCAACGATCAGAGTGTGCGACGACGCCACAGCCACATCACAAGCCGGGTTTCGCGTCGCCATTAAGCGGGAAGGTGCGTCGCGCGCCGCCATTGGCGGCGTCCGCGCGACCGGCCAATCGCGGGCCTCGAGCCGGGCAAGGGCGCCTAATGTCGAGCGACCCGATTCGCCGCCGGCGACAATTGAAGGAAGTGCGCGACCAATCGTGGTGCGAGTAATTAAATATTCCTTGATATTCAATTAGGCGGGACTGTTGAATCTTTCTAATAATCTCTCCTATGTATTATTCTATGGCCTACTTTTTTTCAATTATAACGATAAAGGCGTTCGAATGTAACAGACGTAGAACCAAAACGGTTATAATAAAGCGTCGAAAAATAAAAGTGAATTTTTGTGTTTTAATTCTTAATTGTCAAGGAATATTTTCGTACAATCTGTCATGTTGATGAAACTAATTTCTCACTCGACTAAATATAATTTCTCACAATTTTAGAATTCATCGAAAGATGCGAGACATTTCCGTTACATTTAAACGAAACGATTCATATGATGGTGATTTTGAATTAACAAGACAGCTATATTATACAAAATATCGCATGATATATTTAACAACCAGTGGTAACAAAGGTAATTTTTCTTTTCTCTTATACATACTTATAGCAACAGAACAACATTTGCATAATACAAGCCCTTCAACTTGTATATAACTTTCTATACATATATACATATATATATATATATATATATATATATATATATTTATATTTTTTTTTATATTATTTGTCACCTACAAACTTCGAAGGAGCATTTGTAACATAACAAGTGATTGGTATATCACTAGAAAAAATCGATTTGTTTTGTTTCAAATAACTTATATATAACTTATATAACTTATGAGATTTAATGACTTTTATGTATAGAATTTACATAGAAATATATATATATATTTATTTATATATCTCTTATCTCTTTCTTAAAGAATATGATTTTCTATAGTGAAATGCCTTCTCTTAAATATATAGATATAATCTACATCTGCACCTTCCTTGTCTTTAAATATCTTTACATAATTATTACATGATGAAAAAATTTTCGATAATACCTCTATATATACATAATTTCTCACCGTACATATCATACTTTTTTTTTTGTTTTTTTGGTCTTATAAAGAGCAGTGTTGCCTCAGTCATCTTTGGTAGAAGCATGTGTGCATGCTTTTTCGCATAACGCTATCTCAATACAAGATAACACAAAACCTTATCCAATTAACACGTATCTGATCCCTGAGTTGATATACAACCACATTTCAGTCTTTGCCATTTTGTTATTTCATCTCTCACAGCAACTGCCATACATCGGGTGAGACAGCCATCTTGCTATATAAATATAGCAATTTCTAATCAAAAATTTTAGACCAAATTAAAATGCAAATCGCTCTAGATGTAGTATTACAAGATTTCTTCTCACAAACAGTGCTTCGTGATGGCGAAATGTATATAGAAAAAAAAAATACTTTTCTTTTTCGTTCGTAACATTCTACATTTTCGAAAATATAACATAAACGGCAAAGCGGATAGAGATCAAACGGATTTTGATCAAATAATTTTCATAATTTTGTATCCTATAATTCATATGTATAAATATATATATATATATATTTATATATATATATATATAATATATATTATATATATTATATATATATAATATAATATATATAATATATATAATATATATTAAATATATATATATATATATATATATATATATATATATAAATTAAACAAGATTAGGAATTGCAAGAAAGATATTATATTGATTACATTTTTCAATGATAAATAGATCAAAATAAATTTAATTAATTAGTCAAATCTAATAATTTACTCAATAAAATCCAATCCACTCTCTTGCACTTTGATTATATCACTACGAAATTAATAGAAACATCTGTTATTTCCCCGAAAATTCGCCCGTCCGTCCGAATAGTTTTTTTTTTAAATTTCTTTTCTGCGCACGGCTTCTATATTTAATATAGATCTTTAAAATAATTATTAAATAAATTGTGTCTTAAAAATGATATAAATATGTTATTTTCAATTAGGTTATCTCCAAGAGAAAAACTATATCATTCTCTTTTAAGCAAGTCCGATTTTTCAGTTTTTTCTTTGCTGTCGTCATTAAGTTACCACTGGTGAAAATAACAGATGCTTAAATTATTTCCACATTATCTCATGTGTCACTAATCTCTAGTACATTGATTTAATGTACTTGTAGCGAAATAAATTTTCTTAGGCACATTCACCGCATATCGTATATTTCACCGTTATCATAAGCATTCGCTAAAATTTTCTTCGTGTTCGTTGATCGTCACCGTTATTTCATTAAAATTATCAATTGCAAGAAGCGACGATTGCAAAAAGAAAATTTTAACGAAAGCGTATAATAAGTTACAATAACTTATCGTATAAGCTGTAATAACTTAATGCGTATCCATCTCGCATTATAATCACAGACAACCCCCCGTTTAACAAAATTCTTACTACTACCTTTCGCACCCATTTGCCACATTCCCTCGATAGCGGTAATAAAAATAAAATTTTGTACATATTTAGAGTAAACTCTCGCGGAAAAACGTCGATACATCGAAACCCTGATCGTAGTAATACAGTATTGTTCTACATTCCTCTAATGTATCAAATGTTTTAATTGCACAGAAAAATGTGCTTGTGTTATTATCATTTACATAGATAAATGTAGATTCAGAGATGATAAGAGATGGTATGTAGTTCTGTAGTTCTATGTGATTAATTTTATATATACATATATTTTCTAAAATTCGTGAGAATAGGAATGATGCGATGTTTGCGTCTTGTATGAACGCCGAAGGCAAACGTGTTAAATATCGTGTAAAATGCATAGGAAACAAGATAATAACTTACTGGACCGAGCGTAAATAGGAAAACTCTATTCGACTATAATCGTGGGAAGGCGTTTCGGCCGCTTGTTTGCCTTGTGCTTCCTGTGAACGCTCGTTTCGTCCTGCGTGATCTGCGAGGGTGATTCGTACGATTCCACGGAAATGTCGGAACTGGCATCTCCGCTTGTGTTTACCATCTGTTCTAATTTACGTTTTCGCGATCGTGTCATTGGTCCGTTACTACTGCTGCTACTATTTTCGCTATCGACATCGTGTCGATGTCGACCCTTCTTCTGTGGACTCGATGACTCGAGATTGTGCTTGGCATGTTTCATCGCTCGCTTTTGCAGAAGCGAATATGATATCGGAGAATTAGAATTATCGGAGGAAGAAGAAGTCAGGTACTCGATTGCTTCCTCGCTGAAGTCGAAGACGCTCGGTGACGAGGTGGAAGTGTTGTTCGCGGTATTCACCATGGTGCTCGGTGGACGCAACTGAATCGATGACATAGGACTCGAAGAGGAAGAGGACGGTCGTGACGAGGAGCTGGAAGTAGAGCATTTATGCTTGCGACGCTTAGCTAGTTTGGCATCGCCGACCTCACGCAACCGGAAGCCCTCGCGCTCCGTCGCGCTTGATGTTGAATTGCTGGCCATAGCGTAATCTACGTGATTTACATCGACGATTGGCGTCGCTGGGAGAAGTGGTCCATCGTTGGTCATCCACGGGTGATATTTCAAATTTCTTGCGGTGAGTCTGTTGTTTGGCTCAACTGTCAACAGACCCTTCATCACTTGCACCGCCGAAGTGGACACATGACTCCAAGCCTCGCCATCAAAGTCGATCGTACCAGTTCTGATGCGATTCGCTATGGCAGGTGAGTTTACTCGAAAGGGCTGATCGCGGGACAACATGAAATACAGAATAGTGCCCAAGGACCACATGTCGCAACTCTCGTCGTATCCCTTCTTGGCTATGACCTCCGGGGCAGCATACGGAAGCGTGCAACAGGGCGTGCGCAACAATTCGTCGCAACTATTCTTTATCCGAGCAAAGCCGAAATCTACTATTTTCACCGGCGAATTTTCGCTTTTATCTACAAAAACAATGTTCTCCGGTTTCAAATCACGATGTACTATACCGCAATCGTGCATATATCGCACCGCGGATGTCAATTGGCGCATTATTTGCTTCGCTTGTAACTCGGAAAACGCTCGCTGTCGTTGCGATAATTCTCCGCCCGTGAGCAATTCCATCACGATGTATGTATGAAGCCGATCGTGATGAACCTCTATCTGCTTCACCACATTGGGGTGATGCTGGCAAGCGCGCATCAAGTTCTCCTCGCGAAGAGAATCCACCATCCTGCTGATGATCTTCACGGCATACTCCTGCCGAGTACTGCGATGTCGACATCGTAGACAAATCGAGAAGCTACCGTCACCCAAAGGCGGCGACTTTAGGTTTAACTCATATGTCTGAAAGAACGTGGATTCCTCGAAACGTATGGCGTACAGAGTGGATAGCGAAGGTCGTTGCACGTCGCCGAAGATATCTCTGCTTATCGCGTTGTCGCTAAATAGTATCGAAGGTGCCACGTACGAATAACCCTGCAAAATAATTCATTATGAGAAATCTATGCATTTTCATTCAGTTTCGCGATTTTATTTCGTTATCGAAAAATTGGAATAAATATCGAAAAGATGTAAAAGCTCTTAATATTTTATCTTTCTTTTTCTTTTGATACTATTAAACAATTTGTTTTGAAAATTGTTCGCTAAAGAATATCTTAACCAGAAAATTTGATTTTGTAATGCAATTACTTTAACGCTAAACAAATTGATAAAATTAAGAGAGCTTACCCTGAAATGCTTGTCGCTATTGTTATCAATGTTGTTGTCAATGATTGCTGGACTATCGAGGGTGATGTCCGTTTTTGTAAACTCGTCCGAAAAATTGCTGGTATCCAATTCATGCGCGATTTTTGGAACGATGGGCGGTTTGATCCGTTTGTTTTCGAGAGCTTCCCAAGTGAAACCCGGCGCAGCATTGAAAAAGGGATGCTCCTTGAGATCCTTGGCGTCGCGTGGTCCACCACCCAGTCTCCTTCGTGGATCTTTGACGAGTAAACGAGTAATGAAATCCCATACTTCATCACTCAGGTAACTCGGTTGCGACAGCGGATCGTTCCTCAATATCCTCCTCGAGATTTCTTGCTGAGTTTTTTCGCCATTCAACGTGAAAGGCGACGAGCCGGTCAATAATTCATACGTTAATACGCCTACGCTCCACCAATCGACAGCCTGCAATGATATGAAAATATTATTTTATTGTTCCGACTGTAAATAAATATTATAATTGAAAATGAATTAAACAAATGTTATATAATACAGTTTTATTATATTATCTCGAACTTATTCATATTTCCATTTTCTTTTACTTGCACATTTTTCAACTAATTTAAATTTTTTTTTGAATGAACTTAATTTTATATGGATTGTTGAAAAAATGTAGTCGACCAAACTAGCCAGAAATTTAGTTTATTATTACGACGTTTCGACCATATGGTTGTGGTCCTTATCAAGTACATACTGCAAAGATTATAAATTGATAAATTAATTGACAGTTTCAATATATAACACGTTCAACAAATTAAAATGTAACAATGTTAGTATACCGAAGCCATAAATCAGGAGACCGGCATAGACGATGATCTTATAAATTGCACAAATCACATTAACAAAACGTTATTTATTAAAAGATTTAAATTAGAGAGAAATTGATGTGTCCGTGAGAGACTTCGTCAAGAGACTAAAAACAAACGCTATGAGACGGGACTATGTGACCTCTATTATTTTATCGTAAATATTATTTAAATTTATATTTATTTATTCCTATATTTTGCCGCTTTTCAAACGCATTATATAATAGTCATAAAAATTATATGAATTTATACGAGGGAGGGGGAGAGAAAACTAAAATTTAGAACGACTGAAATTATTATTCAGAAAAAAAGCTAAAAACTGGAGAAGAAATAAAAAATTAAATAACAAAAATCGGGGAAATAAAGTAGAAAGATAAAAGAATCTTGTGACGATATCGCAACTCACAATATCATGCCCGGTTGAGCCCCCTCGTACTACTTCCGGCGCCATATACTCGATTGTTCCGCAAAATGAGTAAGTGCGCGCGTTGCCGTCTCTCTCATGTGATAGGAACTCTTTGCTGAGACCAAAATCTGTCAATACGAGATGTCCTTCTTTATCCAGTAATATATTTTCGAGCTTAATGTCTCGATAGATTATGCCAAGCTGCGACAAAGAAGAGAGAAATTTATTAACTTTCGGTTTAACTTATTATAATAAATTGTTTTTATTAAGTTTTTATTAAGTTATTTTCTTTTTTTATCGCGTCTTTACAACATCCATAATATTCATAATAACCATATGTGTGATAAACCAACTACACATGCTAAATTTATCTATTCTAATATATATATTAATCTAAAAAAATACTCAGCAATTAAAAGAAAAAATATGGATTGTTACTTATAATGCAGAAAACCGATAACAGGATATTTTTGATAAAAATAACTTGTTATCTTTTGTTCACGCATATTATTATTATTATTAATATTATATCAATACGTACGTCATGGAGACGTTCTAGCGCCAAAATAATCTCGCCGACATAAAATCGTACTGCGTCCTCCGAAAAGCGCTCGTGATAAAACAGATGTGTAAACATCTCACCGCCAGCAATATATTCTGAAAGTAGAAAAATATTTTGTTCAAATTTTTTTTTGTATTCGTATTCCAAGATATATAAAGCAAGTTTTTCCGTTTTCGTCGCATATTATTCATAATGATGTTGATAAATATATATCATATTATTCTGATTTATGTATATGATAATTTCTTAACAATTTGGATGCATTATATTTGTAGAAAGAGAAACTGGAGACGAATCAGTTACGTCAAAAGTTAATAATTTGACATTGCATAAAACATTTTTTTTAGCTTTTTAAAATATAATTTAATTTTAAAAACGCAAATATTATTTTATATTATTTTATTCAAATTAACTCTTTTTATAATGATTATTACAATTTCAATTGTATAATCATTTCAAATTAATTTCAAATGTAATTGATTTCAAATGTACGGCATAAAAATTCATGAAAATAAACATTTTAATTCTACAGGATAAATCTTTACTTTATCTCACATAAATTAATTATTAACTTGTATTTTAAAAGCTTAAAAGTATTTTGTGCAATGTCAAATTTATTGTTTATATAAATTTTGAAATGTACGTAAGATTTATTAACTTATTAAAAGTAACTGATCTATCTAGGTTCTCCTTCAATTGTAATTTCTTGCACATGTTAACATATTTTGTTCAATCATATTTGTTCAATTATATTTTGCTCAATCATATTATCATATTTTTACTTTATTTTTTTCTATAATTGATATTTATATTACTTTTTTGTTTTTAATTTCATGCTTATTTTTTGCTATTTCAAAGCTTACCTAAGATTAAACAGAGCTTTTCATTAGTTTGAAACGCGTAATATAGGGTTATTAAAAAGGGACTGTCTCGGATGGCCTCCAGGATTTGTCTTTCGGTCTTTGTGTGTTCTGTTGTCTTCTTTTTCTGTGTGATGTAAGCCTTTTGCAGCACCTTCATGGCATAAAGTTGACCAGCATCTGCACCCACCCTCTTTCGTACCAGGAAGACCTTGCCATAAGCTGCATCAGAAATAATTGATAAAAATATTATTATGTATTATTCATTATTGATTCAAAGAATAATAAAGAAATAATACTATTGATATAAAAGAAACATCGCAAATGAAGAACTTAACATAATATACATATACATATATGTTACATTAAAGATATAATTAAAAATTAATTAAAAATTGACAAATAAGAGAATGTTGAAGTCATATCGACTTTTGGCCTCCATCACTCATCAGATTTACTGTATCAAAAAAGAAAAAGATATCCTGTGAGATATGTATATTCTGTATGTGTTTCTAGTGAAAAAATCAATCAATGATTTCCGTTCGATTAACATCCATTAACCTCGTGATTCGAAGAAAGCTATTCTCCTAATTTTTAATTAATTTTTTATTATTATTATTTGAGCCAAGTTTTTATTTTGATTAAAAATATATTTAAACACTGAAAATATAATATCGTACTTAAGTTATATTAAAGAAGAGTATTTAAAAAAATCTTTGATATTTATAATGTATAATGTAAATAATATACAGAGAAAGAAAGAGAGAAAGAGAGAGAAGGAGAGCATGCACACTATAAATAACATAGGTATTAATTATTGTGAATATTGATATAATATTGATATAAATATTGTTCAATGTTACTATGTTCAAAATAATATCTTGTATCAAATAAAACCTCCTACCTCCAGTGCCAAGAAGAGCCAGAATGTCGAAGTGTGTCATATTGACTTTTTGGCTTCCGCTACCCGTCAGATTTACTGTAACAAAAAAGAAAAAACACACATCCTGTGAGACATGCATATTAATATATTTCTGGTGAAAAGATCAATTAATAATTTCCGATCTATTGACACCTATTAACCCGACAATTCCAGAAGATTATTATGGAACTGATCGCTGTGTGCTCGTGTACCGTAAAGTGATTTTTGCGAAGCTTGTATAAAAACCTTTGATACAGCGAAAACCTGTTCCTAATGGATTAATAATATTTCAATATTTTTATGCAAAATATTGAAATATTTCTCAGAAATAAATGCGAGTAAAGAATGGAAAACTCTGTACTTTTTTCAAACATTTATATGATGAATTTTAATTAAGAAAAAGAGTGAGAATTGAATTTTATATTTTATCGAAAAATTATTAAAATAGAGTGAATTCGAAATTTATCGAATAGCCTTTGAGATGATAAAGTAGAAACGCCCTGTCAATTAACGATTTCTTAATCTCTAACAACTCTCTCTTTGATATATATAAGTATTTAATTTTTTCTTTAATACGCGCGTAGAGCATCGTACGCGCTCTGAAACGTGAAAAGTGAAATTGTAGACGTATTATAGTTGCGTAAAATGACAACACTTTTCGAGAAATAAATAGATACTCGTTGCATTGTTTTTTTCTCTTTTCGAGCGAGAGAAAATGAAGACAAAAGACATACAATAACACCTAACGTCGTGCAATCGCCGAATGTCGCGTAAACGATGCGCGGAATGGAATGCCGCTTATTTGACGTGTTGCAAACGTGCAAAGGCGACCAACACCTGTGCGATGCGCGGCCAATATCGACAGGTGCGTCGCGTGAAAATGCACACGTGAGCAATTCGCTGCACGCCTGCAGTTCGGTGCAACCGTGTTTATCGCCTCCCTGGAGGTTTCGCGTGACACATAATACATGTGCTACCTCTAATTAAAGTGGACGCACACATCTAAGAGAAACATCCGTGTAAAAATTGCCTACGATCGCGAGGATCGCAGCGCTTAATATATAACACGGTTTTAAACATTTATATTACTCCGAAGCAAAATGTCTTTGCGATTCTACATTGCAGCGTTACATAATTTTCAAAACAATTGCATCATGTAGTAAACGCAACAGGCATTATAAGAAATTGAACGAATAAGAATAATATATAGTAATCATATTTCTCGTGATTCATTTTTATCTCATTCCGTTTCTGCTTTCTCTTATATAAGTACAATTTATTTATTTCATTTCACTCGCTTTCTATCGAAAATTTACAGAATTTCTGTTGATCTTCTGTTTATCTGAAGGTAAAATTACGAAGAAACTGTAAATAATCGACACGATAAGTCCCAAGGAAAAATTTATTTAAATATATATTTTCTGATTTAAATCTATTTTTCAAGAAATTTGTATTTAAACAATATACATTTTCTTCGGTAAAATATGTATTCATTCGTATTATATTAATGCGATTATTGAAAAAATTCCTAGATAATAGTCTTTAAGACCTTTCGTATCTTTTCAACAATAGATAGACAATAACTATTGATTCTTATCAAGCAGTCACACAATTTTTTTTTGTTGATTTATGTTGCTATTATTTATAGACCTTATTTTATTGTGTACAGAAATTCTATGAGAATTTTTGAAAGAAAGCAAGCGAAATGAAATATAAGTTTTGATTTTATAAGTCGATTATAATTAAAGTGTATCCTACTTAAGTTGCCTGTCATAAATCATTCTAAAAACTAGTTTCTTTTGTATATTATATTTTGTATATTAAAGCCTTTGAGCTATTATCTCTATTATTGAAAATAATGAAAAATGTGATAAAATGTCTCAAATATTTATTTAAGAGATACACAACTCTAAACATACATATTAGGAAAGGATAACTAATAATTATCCTTTATCGTCTTTAATATAATATATAATTATGATACAAAATATGTGATAAGATGTCTCAAATATTTATTTAAGAGATACACAACTCTAGACATACATATTAGGAAAGGGTGACTAATAAGACTATTCTTTATCGTCTTTATTTCGTTGACTCATTCGACGGCAACGTAGAAAAAAAAAAGAAATTATAAACGGAATTGCCACTTTCACTTTTGTACCTTCTCTTCCATTTCCACTAGGCCTCCACTACTCTTTTATAAATCTTTTTTAACTAAGCGAATTTCAATCGAGATGGAAGACGCGGCGAAAGGAAGTCGAGATCCGGCTAAATCGGTGTAAAGAAATTATCGCCGAAGGTTAACGCGATCTCACGCGAGAGCGTGGAACCAGGTTCCGCGATTGCTAGAATCCCCGATATCCCTGACGATTTGCGTACGCGAACTCCTCGTGCTAAGGATACTTGAAAACTAATTCTACCGTTGTAGACTAATTCAAAGTTCTATTTGGAGTCGTTACTCTTAATGGCTTTTAGCTGTTTATCAAGTAACTCCGTCGTTTAAAAATTCTCTCATTGTAAGTATAATGAATAGCGCGTAAACTAATGAGCCTTCTCATTAAGAATTACAATTTGTCCTTAATCTCTCACAATCTTCTTAATTTAATACCTTTGAAAATCGCTAATATCGTGCTTAAGAATCGTGCGAAAGAATTTGAGCATTCAAAGAAAATAATTACGCCTGAAAACATTCATGTCCATAAACAAGTTTCGAAAATGAACCTTAATTATAATTAATAACGTTTTTCCAAAAGAATCGATTAATCCTTGCAATGCTTTTGCGCATATTAACTAGACATTTTTTATACGCACCTTGTTTAATGTACTTCTAAAAATATTTCAACATATCGTAACTAAGAAATATGAAAAATGCGCGAGCAATGTTAAGCTTCCTTTAAGGGACTGAACTCTCTAGAGCCCTCGGCAATGCGCCAGGGTTAAAGGGGTAATCTATGATTACGTAATCGCAGAAGCGCGCGATCAATGCGACGAACGAGATCCGAGAACGGGTAATTAAGCGGTGAAAGCGCCCGGTTCGGGCAATGTTCGGCTTCGTGGAAATGACGGTACGAATGAGCGGTACGAGAATCGAGCGTCCCCGGCACTGACTGTGTCAGGAGAGAATGCGTGTCAAGGTGGCAAAAGAGACCAACATCGGCGTGGCCTATCTCGCGATGTAATCGCGAACTCGCGGACGCACCTCACACGCGTCTGCAACGCACGCGACTCGCACGCACTCGCCCTCCCTCCCCCCTCCCCCCCGGCTCCTCTCCTAGCGAGTGACCTACTTGTCCGAGAGCCGAGGTGTTTTTTCGCGGATTTTTCGATTTCATATTTCGCCCAAGCGTCTCGAGGAACCCGGATCATCGATTATCAAAGATCGCTTCGATCTCATCTGCCCTCACCCCCCCCTCCTCCCCTCTCGCTCGATTCGATTCGACTTCTGGCCTCCTTCGCGGACTCGGGGATCCGCTTATCCGTTACTTTGGAACGGCATTCCGGCCTCCCCCCTCCCCCACCTCTTACTCGCGTAAATAATGAGCTCCTTTTTTTCGACCCTGAATCGCGCCGAGGGAAAATCAATTGAGGAAGATGTACCGTAAGGCCTCGAGAAGCCGAAAAAGAAACACGCAAACGAAATTTGCGAAATTATTTTTCTTCCTCGCGTATTACTTGATATAAGGTGTATTTGTAGGAGGGTCTTTGCATAATTCCGAGAATCCGGAATATCCTTCTCTTTATTAGAAAAAAAGAAAAAAAAACGGTAGAGAGAAAGCCAGGTTTCTAACGAAGCCCCGATCATCGATTCGATAATCTTACAAATGGGAAAAATAATATTAGGCCTTCAATGTCCATTTCAAGTTTCAAGAAGAATTCCGAGAATTATCAAGGTTCCTCCCGTGTCATTCCGGATTATTACGTAACAGATCGAGAACGTTGCGGATTAAAATTTCGTTCGCACGGTCTCGCGTCGAATGTTTCTCGGAATGAAAGCCGCGAAAAAATTGCGAAAAGTGCGTAGAAAACGGGGGCAAAGGGGGAAGGGGAGAAGAAAAGAGGATTCCGGGTTCTCTTTTGGCATTTTCGAATAATACGGTTAATCTCGCCCCGGGGTAGTCTCCTAGACCTCGTTGACCAATCATAGCCGTTCAAGGAGTGTGTAACACCATTGCATTGAAAAACGCCATTCGTTATCGTTCTTTAATTCGCAACGAAAACGCACCCACGCGAAGCAAGACGGCGATCTCGCAGCCGCGAGTAGTACACACCGCGGTAGTTCCGCTTTTGTCTGACCCAGATAGTCCGCATTCACTCGCTATTTCGTAACGGGACCTACTACTTTCTTTCGCCAGCCGCAACGTCGGCCCGATTTGCGTGTATGTACAATACGTGTGCGCGTAATTGCACGATGCGCAAGAAACCTGTTTGCCATTCTGCCATCGGTCCGCATTCAGACTTTTGCACGGACACATCCACGCGCAACACACGTATACCTTGACGAGACCGAATAATTCCTGCTACGAGTTAGAATATTCATTTTTAAAAACTCGTCAAGTTTATTATCAGCTCGGTATCAATGTCGATGTATCGATATACTGAAAATATAATGATGTTAAATATCCATTAAGTTCATATGAATTAAAATAATGTAGTCGTTAAAAATTAATTATGAATAAACGATGTCAAAAGTACATTTAGATATTTAATTTCATGATTATTAATGTATTACATAAATTAATAAATTAAAAGTAACGTAACTTGAGCCTTTTTTTATGAATTCCTAAATGTTAATATCGAATATTTAATAAGAAAAAAAATATAGTTAAAGGAATATTAATCATAACAAGGATTATATTAATATAAATATAATGCAATAATAATTTAAAAAATTATTTCTACAAACTCTTCTTCGAAAAAGTCGATTTCTCTAGATTATAATTAATACAAATTTAATTGTGCGCGGATTAATACCCAACAATAAAATTAAAAATTAGATGAGTTACGATTGTAACATGCTTTACTCAGCCAACGACGACTTCGAGAATGTCATAATA